CCAATATTGGCCAACCCCCTACTATCCATGGACTGGCTTTCCCACTGTCTTCTCTCACTTGCTGCAAAATCCACCACCCAGAGGGCACCATCAACCTCTGCCTACAGCTGCGGGGTGAAAAGAAGGGTGGGGACCCCTGATCAGAGCTGGCAGTCTTGGATTGAGTATCTAATAAAGTATCTGAAATTGCCATTATTGTAGGTCAACATGATCAGATATTAGCAATCCCACGTGGTTCAACCTAATTAGCATATGGCCAGCTCTTCCTATGAATTTTCTCCCAATTCCCATTTTAGCCTCACAAAAGTATAATACACACTTTATGCTTCGGAAATTGAGGTTCAGAGAGGTTGTGACTTGCCCAAGTGAGTGCTCAAACCCAGATCTTTCTGATCCCCAAATCAGGGACTGTGAATCACATCAGGCCATCACCTCACCTGCCCCCAGCACACCCTCAGGAACAGTCAGGAGTTTCACACTGAGAGCAACAGGCTGGGCTGACCAACAGGTCCTCTGCAGGCTGCTGAGTGTTGGGAGCTTAATAGACCCATCAAGAAGTCACCGTTGTGGTGGCTCACGCCTATAATCCCAGCACTTTGGGAGACCGAGGCAGGTGGATCACGAGGTCAAGAGATCGAGACCATCCTGGTCAACAAGGTGAAACCCTGTTTCTACTAAAAATACAAAAATTAGCTGGGCATGGTGGTGCGCACCTGTAGTCCCAGCTACTCGGGAAGCTGAGGCCGGAGAATTGCTTGAACCCAGAAGGCGGAGGTTGTGGTGAGCCGAGGTCGCACCATTGCACTCCAGTCTGGGTAACAACAGCAAAACTCCGTCTCAAAAAAAAAAAAAAAAGTCACTGTTTGCTGTAGGTTTGGGTACAAATCCAGCTTCCATCACAGGCTGTGTATAGGTGGTCCTGGGCAAATCACTCACCCATTGGAGGGTTGGGCCCTTCCTGAATCAGGGAAGGCCTGTCCACATCCTCTGCAGCGTGGGAGCGCAGGCAGCATGCCCCTTGGCGTGCACCCACATGCACAAATGGCAGGTGTTGTTTCAGCAGTCAGATCAGCTTGGTCCTTCCAAACCATAACTTGTTGTAGAAAAAACATATACCCAACCCCTTGAGCCAAGCCTGCCCAGAGAGATTAGATAACACAGAAGTGATGAAATCTGATGCTATCACTTGACAGTTGGGAGACTGCGGGCAATACTTTGAACCTAGTTATCTGTAGAATGGGAGCGATGATCATGTTATCCACTCGCAGGGTGGCTGTGAGGACTGTATGGGACAATCCCAGTGTAAAGTGCTTAGAACACTGCCTACCACAGAGTCGGCACATACTCGGTGTTGCCTCTTCATAGTGACGGTAATGACAGTTATTCCCAGCCCAAGCTAAGCCCACAACTCTGCCTCATTTGTGAGACAAGTCCTCTCTGAGCATTACACCAGGAATTGTCAGGGCAGTGGATCCTAATTAAGGCTCCAGTTGAGACTCCGGGGTGCCAAGAGCTTATGGTTCAGTAGGAGAGAGAATCTCACACTATTTTTTTTTTTTTTTTTTTTTTTGAGACAGAGTTAGGCTGGAGTGCAATGGCACCAACCTCAGCTCACTGCAACCTCTACCTCCTGGGTTCAAGCAATTCTCCTGCCTCAGCCTCCTGAATAGCTAGGATTACAGGCACACCCCCACCACACCCGGCTAATTTTGTGTTTTTAGTAGAAATGGGGTTTCTCTGTGTTGGTCAGGCTCATCTTGAACTCCCAAACTAAGGTGATCTGCCGGCCTTAACCTCCCAAAGTGCTGGGATTACAGGCATGAGCCACCACACCCAGCTTAGAATCTCACATTACTGACCCCTTTTTAGGACAGAAATTTTTTACAGAGAGGAGGCTTCTTAGAGGAAGTGTTGCCTGCATCACATCCCAAAGGATAAGGAGGAGATAGGGCTGCTAAGCAAAAGGGCTGCAAAGCACTTGCTGCAGAAGCGCATGAGCAACCTGGGCCGAAGCACAGCGCATCTCCCCACACATCTGGAACAAACATTTCTGTGTGTGGAGGGCTGGGGACTCCGTGGGGAGATTGGCAGAGGTGGATGCTGAAGGGCTACTTTGATTAGAGGTAAGGGAGACCCAGGGGAGACTAACAGCCCCTGATTGAAGTCATGATAGTGGGGGTGGAGAAAAGAGAACTCTGTGAGAGACAGGTACAGTTTATAATTATTGACTGAATGAAATAGAGTGGAAGGGATTTGGTTTTTTATTATGGACAGGGGCAAGGATGGGGAATCCAGGTTTCTGGTTGGGACAACTGAGGCATATACAGGTCCGAGGGAGATGAAGCCACCAGAGTGATGCTGCCGTCCAGGGAGAGGGTGTGGCCCGAGTAGAACTGAGATCAAATTGTGTAAGACACCCTGACATTTGAGGGTTGAACTGAAAGGAAAGAATACCAAGAGGCAGGAAAACATCCTTCCATGACTTCTCCCCCTGCTCTGCTCACCTCAGTGCCATCCAAGTGAAAGTCCCACCTTCGATGCAAGCCCCTGTGGCCCCACGACCAGGCTTCCTCCTGGGTCCTCACCTTTTCTTCTGCCTGCACTGCTGCTGATTCTCAGATGCAGCGTCTTGTCCTCCAGCATCACGTGCAGGCACGGTCCAGGTCTGTGTTGCCACCATGCCAGCTGTGGCACAGTCCTGAGCACTTTGAAGGTGCTCAGGAGATTTCTGTCCTAAAAAGGGGTCAATAATGTGAGATTCTAAGCTGGGTGTGGTGGCTCATGCCTGTAATCCCAGCACTTTGGGAGGTTAAGGCCGGCAGATCACCTTAGTCTGGGAGTTCAAGACGGGCTCGCTGGCAAAAAGAGGGAAGCATCAGAGACCAGCAAATGCCAGACTCCTAAGCACTCCTCTTTCCCCACCACCCACCCAGGATCAGCCATGCTGCCAGAACCCGCACACCTCCACCCCTGTTCCAGCCTCTCCTTCCTCCAGAAGCCACAGCTCCTGCTTCCCAAATCCAGAGGCCTTGTGCAAGTGGCAGGGCCAGGAGGAAACGTGGCAGACCACCCTCCCACCTTCTCTGCATTTCAGGGAGCTGTGGGACTAGAGACACACAGGACCCTATCAAACATCTCAACAGGGCGTGGACCAAGCAGTAAGAACCACTCAACCAGTCAGGTCCTGAGCTCCTAACCACCTGCTTCCTCATTGGGGGACCTCAGGCAAGTCATTTAACCTCTCAAAGCTTCCATTTGTGCAGCGTGTCCCAATGAAGACGAAATGAAGATTCCCTCAAATGCCTAGACACTATGCCTGGCACCTAGTGAAGCATTCAATACATGGTAGCCACTGTTATTCAAGAGCTTCCTGGCATGCCCACACAAGTAGAGCAAACTGAAATGACTCTGTCAGCCCCGGTGTGACATCTTCCCTCCCTACCCCTCCTCCGCCACTACCACCCTGTAGTTAGTTAGAACCCCCCTTGGGTGTTTTCTAGAGATGGGATTTTGCACTTATTCTGGGTTACAGAACTATAACAAAAGCAAGTTTTAGTTCAATGATAAAAAGCAAAAAGCGACCGGGCATGGTGGCTCACGCCTGTAATGCCAACACTTTGGGAGGCCCAGGTGGGTGGATCACCTGAGGCCAGGAGTTTGAGACCAGCCTGGCCAACATGGTGAAACCCTGTCTCTACTAAAAATACAAAAAATTAGCCCGACTTGGTGGTGCACACCTGTGCAGCTACTTGGGAGGCTGAAGCAGCAGAATCACCTGAACCCGGGTGTCAGAGGTTACAGTGAGCCGAGATCACTGCACTCCTGGGCAACAGAGCCAGACTTCATCTCAAAAAAAAGTGCAAAAAGCTACTTTGAGAGGTAGTGAGCTCCTGATCACATGTAAACAAGGTGACCCGGATGATCACTTGGCACTAATGCCCTGGAGCATGAATCAACAATCAACATGTATTAATATTTCTTGCGACACAATTGTATTATAATTCCCCTTAATGAAGTAGTGGCGCCAGTAGGCTGTAGTGCTTTAGTGACCTTTCAGCAACAGAAAGTTGGCTGTCCTACATTGGCCTTCCAGAAAGCTTTTATGAAATTGTACAGGCTTGCGATACCCAGATTCTGAACCCCCACTTTCAAAGGCCCCGCTTCCTGGGTAGAAGATTCAAAGCCCCTTGCACAGACACCTGCATAGCCCTTTGTTTGGTACCCGATTTAGACCATCTCTTGTGCAAGATTCCCCGAATCTAAAACAGGACTCAGATCCATCAGCAGCAAACCAAGGTAGGCTGATGCAAAGCCAGCACTGAAGAGGCACTTTGACCGCAAGTGCCACCTGGGTTGGGCTGGGGAAGGGGACCAGTGAAGTGTCGCTGACGTCCCAGCAGACAATAGAGAATGCTGCAGAGTAGAACCTGGACTCTGCAATCTCTACGGCCCAAAACAGCATGTGGGAAGCAGCCAGGAGGTGGCCAAGTCCCTCTGACCACCACTGACATTCATCCCCGACTTTCATCACCCCTCCAGGGCCTCACCCCAGGAAACTCCTCCTGGAATTAAATCTGGCAGAGTTACAGTAGGTTTGGGATTATCGCCAAGCGGGTTGTTGGCAAGAACCAGAGGGATCCAGATTCTTGGGGCTAACTTTCCCCATCCATCCATCCCCTAATCCGGTCTTCCAATCACCCGAGATGTAATTCCCTTTCCTCGATCCTACAAGCTTTTGAATTATCACCCACAGGGTTCCGGTAGGTTGTTCCCCATTACAAATTCAAGACACAGGAGGGAGGGAGCGAGGTCTTGGTAGCTGCAGGTCTTTCCAGCACTTGAAGACTAGGGCTGTTCTACGTCTCTCTCTTTTGGGGCCCATGTCTCCCCCTCCTCCAAGAGCGGGGCTGGGAAGACGCCAACTCAACGGAACTGGGATGAATACTCCTCCCGCTCCCTCCAAGCAGCAGAAGAAAAAGGAGTTGGAAGACAACATGGTATCAAGTGTACATTTTAAAAATCATTTAATGGAACATAAACTCCTTTAGAAAAACATTCTGCTAGGTGATAACACCCATAGAAAAAAACACCAATTTTGTGTTTATCTTTTTTAATTTGGCATTTGTTATTTGCATTTATATTAAAGCAAAGTGCATCTTTTCTTTTTCTTGTTTATACACATTGCACAATACATAAATAATGATGCTTATAAAACGTCTTTATATTTACAAGTAATAATATATTTATATATAACATAAAATACATTTTTTTCTTTAATAAATCTCAGGGTTTTTTTTTTTTTCAGGAGTCCTTTCTCTCTCAAAGCACTACAATGCTAAATTTCCAATGAGAATGCTTCTCTTGTTCATTTAAACCTTTGTAGTTAGAAAAATAGCTTATGTTAAAGTCTAAACATGCTCATTGAGCTAAGAACAGTGTCAAAGTATCATACGAGTGTATGAGTTGTAGAAGAAATGAAAGAAGAGTCAGGTGTCAGCCTAGGATGGTACCTTGGGTTATGACGGACCAAATCCTTCTTAGAGGGAAGGGGACTGCTAAGCATGTCCCTCCCAGGGACGTCCCCCCTTGCTGGTCTAATAGCAGAGCTCAACACCCAGGCTCAGAGCAGGGAGTGCTGAGTTGGTTTTCTAAGTCCAGGAAAAACCTGATGTCACCAGGGCAGGCAGGGAAGAGGCTGATAAGGGGAGAGGGCACTGGGTGAGCAATACTGTGAGGGGCTGCCCCGGCAGCCCTCGGGAAGCCCATCTCAGAGAGATCCAGGAGCAGGTGGCCAAAAAAAGAAAGACACTACAATGGCAGGGGCTGGCGGGAGGGGAATTAAGACAAGGATAAAAACAATTGGTTCTGGTTCAGCCACTAGCAGGCTCGCTGCTCAGAAGCCTGTGGACAGGCCCGTGTCCTAGAGGTGGGAGAGGAAGGGCGGGGGCTTTCCCAGGCTGGGGACAGAGCCATGCTCCTGGCAGCTGTGGGGACCCCCAGCTGCCAGTTTGCCCAGGTACTGCCTCGGCCCCACTGACCATGTCCAAGGGACACGAGAGATACCACATGGGGCTGCAAACCTCTTTGCTTGGGGACACCCGTCAGAGACACAAAACAAAGAGCACGTCGCCTCCCCATCTGTGGCTCCCGCACACGCGTGCACACACTCACAGCCACACACTCACACTCACACACACACTCCTGACAAATGAAATGATGACCGCCCCCTTCATATACTGTGTTTTGTGGTGCTTGGATTTCTGCTTCCCCTCTTCCTAGCAGGGTGTCCTGCCGATCATACCCAGTCCCCTTCCAAAAAAAAAGCCCCCAACAGTTCTTTTCATAAGCTATTTCTCAAAGAATGAAACAAAACAGAACACAAACGAGGACGAGAAGAAGAAAACCAACCAACCAACAAACAACAAAAAAAATACCAAAGAGTTTGCATGAAAAGCAAGCACTCGGGAGGAAAATATTAGCAGCAAAGTAGTTTGAAGTGTGGCCTGCTCAGCGCACGCTCTGTCCCCTCTGCACGCGGCTACCGGCTGTTGAAGATGACCTCCAGCCAGCACGGGCAGCTGCTGATGAACTGGCGGGTGTAGCACTGGCCCCAGCCCTTCACAAAGCTGATCTGCACGGTGAAGCCCGTCCACGGCTGCTGCATGAACTCGTGGTCATTGGGCCGCTGCAGGCTGTACGCCTTCTCGTAGTCGAAAGCCTTGATGGAGAAACCGGGGAACACCTTGTGAACCAACAGCGTCCTGGAGTCCGGGTTGTCCAGTGTGGCGGACTTGATGAAGATGGGGTAGCTACTGCGGTTGTACACCCACACGCCGTCCACCTCCCGCGTCAGCTGGATGCCGCAGCCGATCTTGCTCCGCACCTTCTGCACCAACTGACTCTTGTTGTCTGAATTGAGCTGTCCGAGGCAAAAGCCATTCCCCTGAGGTAGATCATAGAAGATATCCAGAGAGGGCTCCTGGACACAGTAGAGCCTCCCCACTCGCGTCTTCTCCTCCCAGTATGCCACCACGCACCAGTGTGACCGATCCCCAGGCTCCAGAAGAAGTTGGGAATCTAGAAAACACAATGGCAGAGAGGGTTGGTAGGGACAGGCATGGGTGAGTCCTAGAATAAAGACACACATATACACACCCCCATCACAAGCTCATTTCTCAGGACAGGACAGAAGGAAGGTGGCAGTGAGGAGGGTCCTGGACTTGCCCAGGCTCCTTCAGCCCTTTGACCAGGACCTGCCTTTCTTTAAGCATAGGAAGCTCTGGGTGCTGCTTCTCTGCAGGCCCCTGCCCATCAGGAATACACCAGCACCGTGCCCACCTGGCCAACCAAGCCTCTTAACTTGGGTGGTCCGGTTTTAGGGCTGCAAAAAGCCTCAGCCACATCCTGGAGTTACAGGTCTTTCTATTGGATGGAACCTTGGAAGGCCAGCTCCTCCAGCCCCGTGTCATCCTGATGAGAAAACCAGGACCCAGAAAGCCTGCTGCTGGAGAACCAGGGACAACATGGCCAGAGCAAGAACCTAGGTGTCCAGACCCTGGGGCCACCTATGCAACGGTCTCTGGGTGCCTGTCACCCAGCTCCCAAATCAGTGCTGTGGTCATGAGGGACCTCTCTATCTGGTAAAAATAATAATGAGGGTGACTTGGGACAAAAACATCTATATTTTTGTCCACAGCGGCCCTGTATACAACAGTGAATTTGTGTCAAAATGCCAAATCACAACCTGAGACTGGTATTATCCCGGCTACCCTAACAAAGCCTCCTCCAGCCCAGACAGAAGAGTATGTGTCTCAAACGGATGCGCTCCCCTTCTCCCCTTCTCTGCCAGCACCCCGTCCCCAGGGGGTCCCCCCACCCCTCCCTCTGCAGAAGCATCTGGAACCTGCAGGGCACCCTGCCACCCTCCCCCCTCCCAGCAGGCCCCACCCTGCTTCCCTGCACAGGGCTATTCCTGCCAGCACGGGGTGATTCTGGTAAGGTGATTTTCCTCAGCAGGAGGTGGGAGGACTTTAAAAGGGGGTTCACACAGAGGGAAAGGGAGCCCCAACGGCGGGCATTCCAACTCCTCCTCAAGCAGGAGCCAGCGGGCAGGCCTCAGACTTGGGACCATAAATCTCCCCAGCCCAGCCAGACTGCAGGAACGATGTGGTTTGCGGCTGCAGGGTGGAGACCGGAAGTCTTGTATTTGTTAACAAAAATGGGGAGAGCAGAGGAGGGGGAAGAGGGGAAGGGCCCCACGTCACTCCTCGCTCCCTGCAGCCCCAGCTCCTCCCTCTCAGGGGTTTGGGGCGCACAAAGGAGGGGCTGAAAGTGAGATGTGTTTTGGTGTGGCCTTTGTGTTTCTGGAGTAACTGGGTTCAGAGTCAATGATGGTGGCACCGTGCAGGGGCTGACGGCCGAGGATGGGGCCGCATCCAGCTGCCCCCCTGCCCACTGCAGGCTGGGTAACTGGGACAGCCCGGGACACCAACTCGATCCAACTTCCACAGGCGTGTTAGAACCTGGGAACCAGTTGGCTCCACTCAGTTGTTTTTTTTTTAAAGTCGCAGCCAGTGTTGGATGGAGGTGCCCGTCAGTAAAGCTGTACAAATGTGCACACTGCAGCCTGCTGAGGCAACCACGCACACTCCCCCTGCGTGGCTGTTCCCTGCAGACACCCCCAGCTGGCCTTTCCAAATGCCTGCCCTGATGGCTCCACAAAGGGGGACACAGAGGTCTCATTCCTTTCCCTCAACCTCCACTCCACTGAAAGTCAACACCAGAAAACTGGCCGGTCACCCCCCCACAACGTATCTAGGAAGCATAGTGTGTGTGCATGCGCGTGTGCAAGACTGTGTGTGTCCATGATGTCAATGTGTGTATGAGTGTGTTGTGTGTTTCTGTGTGCACATAGAACATATGGAAAACAAGACAGGGACAAGGAGAAGGTGACTCATCAGGCATTCACTTGTTTCTGCAAAGTATCCATCAACTGCTAATAAACTCGTGAGCGCTGGCAGTCTTTGAACTTTCCTGCTGAGGGAGTTCAGCTCTGAAGGCTACACCAAAGGCCCGTGGAGGAAGGGTGCGCTGGCACGCAAGCATGTAGCAGGGAGAAGGCTCTCCTCTGGGAGGCACAGGACGTCCACCCTTTGGTGTTTTGAAATAAAAGCAGCTTTCGCTTATTTTCGCAATTCAGGACAGCAAACCTGGCCTGAAAAGGAAGACTCAGGGAGCTGCTGGGAAGGAGGAGGGAAGGAGGGAGGGAGGGAGCAGGACCCTCAGCAGAGCCTCACAATGCTTTGTTTCATGCAACTGAGACCCACTGAAACCTGGCACAGGCCAACAGGAGGAAGAGGAGAAGTGAGTGAGTGGAATAGCGTCCTGGGACTGAGGTACCCCCATGCCAGGCCTGTTAGCCACCTAGGCAACGGGTGGGAGCCTTGTCTGCCAAGGGTGAGGGCCTCTGTGGGCAGAGGGAGCTGGTGGAGACTGGAGCCTGAGGCCTGTGGCAGGAGGGGAAGTGTCAGGAGGGTCTGTTTCATCTGTGTAGTCCGCCAGGAATTTGCTGCCAGACACCCCCCGGAAAAAGCCTTTTTCTGCTGAGGTTAATGGCCCAGCCCAGATACATGGCAGCATGTGAATATCCTGAGTGTCACTGTGTGTGAACAAGGCCCTGAAGTCCACTGGGTGCCTCACCCACTTCAGGGAGACCCCTGCCTGCTCCTCCCCTGTTGTCCCCTCAGCAGCCTCTGTCCACTCCATAGGACAGCTCCATTCTCCTCCCTCCCACCAGGACTATTTCTGAGCACAAAATGTGAGCTCTCCAGCAAAACCATTCAGCAGCAGCGAAGGGCCCTCGAACACACACCCTTGTGTGAACATCACACCTTCTGGGGATCTCACCCGACGTCCCCCATGGCCAGTACAGAGATTTCCCTCTTTGCCCTGAATTCTCTGCCATTTGGGCTCATTTCTGGGAAACACTCAGCTTCATCTTCACAGAAAAACAGTTCCCTGAATTGGGCCCACAGCCCGCTCGAGTGTCCCCACAAAGGTCTGTGTGGACGCTTTGCTCCCGGGACTTCCCAGGCCACGTGTCAAGGGGCTGGGAAGTTCAATGAGTACAAGGACTGAGGAAGTGCCTTGGCCCCTCGCTGATATTTAACCTCCAAAGACAAAACTCACAGTCCCTTGTTAATTTCCCTCAGCTTTATAACCTTCTCTGGTATTTTCCACAAACTTCTCCCCCTCCCCAGAAAACTGTACAGGGGCTTGTTTTAAAATGGTATGTGTTCATTTTAAAGCATTCAAAAGAAAAGCTGTGTTGTAAAAAGCTCACTAATCAGATGCCTGCTCACAATTTTTTCTTTTTATTACAGTGGAGGGAATTTTTGGAGCAACACCAGAAAAATGCTGAATCTGCCTAAAATTCCTTTAAGGTGTTCCCCCCACCTTCCCTATTTCCCTTAAAGCATAAAATCCTCCCTTTAAAGGGAAGGGGGAGGTAGGCATTGAGAAGGGAGGACTCCAGCCTGTGTTTGCACTGGCGTTGGGGAAGACCACTTAGCAAGGAGCTCCCTGACTCTTACAAAGAGTTATTTAATTACCCTGCTTATGAATGAACAGACCAGACCCTTCCAGGAGACCAGAGGCTCATGAATGAACCTCATACCCCAGGTCCCAATGGTACAGGGTGACCAGACCTCAAGACCACATTTTAGGTAAGCAAGGAATTTTCCTTTTTTTTTTTTTTTGTATGTGATGGAGTTTTGCTCTGTCGCCAGCCTGGAGTGCAATGGCTAGGTCTCCCTGCAAACTCTGCTTCCCGGGTTCAAGCGATTCTCCTGCCTCAGCCTCCCGAGTAGCTGGGACTACAGGCACGCGCCACCATACCCGGCTCATTTTGTATTTTTAGTAGAGACAGGGTTTTCACTATGTTGGCCAGGCTGGTCTCGAACTCCTGACCTCGTGATCCACCCATCTCAACCTCCCAAAGTGCTCAGATTATAGGCGTGAGCCACGGTGCCCGGCCAGAACTTTCCCTTTCTTAAATTTTTAATTTGAATGCATCAGGAGTGGAGAAAGAAGAAAATGGGGGAAGGGAGGGAAGGCCATGATCAGTGCCTCAACAGTACCATTTCTGTCTCCACCTGAAGGCAGATGGCAGAGCAGCTCCACAAACAGTCATGGGGTTGGGGGAACAGAGGCCATCTGGGCCTGGCTGGGTCTATACACACAAAGGAGGTGCTGGTGGAGAGGTGGTCCCCAAGATTCCATTTAGGAACAAGGACAAGCTTGGGAAACAAAGCCAGTAGAGACATGAACTCCAGCAGCTGATGCCCCATGGTCAAATGTGCCCAACTGCCAGGGTACCAGGGGACTGGGTTCAAAGGTGGGTGGGGAGGGGTCTACACTGGCTCTCATCTCTGTGAGCCACTTGGATTATGAAGTGATATTTCTCCACCAAAGTCCAAGAGGGCAATCTGCCTCTGAGCCCCCTCCTCCGTGGTCCAGCAGAGCAGAAAGCTAAGGACAGAGAAGTTGGGGAGGAGGGGTGCCTGGGCAGGCGCGGCCGCCTCATGCATGCTCCCGGTGCCAATTAGGGGCAAACGAAGGACAGATATGTGGACACAGACAGCTTGCACCTGGCAACCTGGGAGCGCAAACATCACCACGCCTTGCCCTCGCCAGGTCCAGGGTCCTCCCTCCTTAGGACCCAGGCGCCACCAACGGTTGCCTCATCCTGTCTCTCCCTCCGCAGCTGACATCTCAAAGATTCACAGCACCTTTCCCCTGCTCCCAACCCTGTCAGGAAATTGTCTGTTCTCATATGAACAAGCCCTCTTTAGGGACAAGCCCAAGATAAAAGGGGACTCCAGTGCCAACCCATCCCATCTATGGGAATTAACAGGACCCCTGCTGGTCTCTTATTTTCAACAGGCAAATGCCACCCCCTAATAGAGACACATAAAACTTGCTGAGATATCTGGGCTCACTTTAAGGTCTGGGGCGGGCTCTAATCCACCATGCTCACAGCCTCACCAAGAATGGGAAATAGGACCCCAGAGCTCCCT